GCTTGGGGCTCACTGCTCCTCCTTAGATTCTGGGCCACAGTTCTTGGGCTCCTCCCAGCGGCCACTCGAGGGGGAGTGCGCGTGTCCACAGAGGTCTGTGGCCGTGCAGGAGCGTCGTCTCCTCCCTGAGAGGCACGGCCCACCAGGAAACGTGGTCGGGGAGGTGGCAGCCTGCCCACCTCTGCCCCCTTGCAGCATCACAGGGCCATTATGGTCTTTGCGTCTCCACATCTCAGGTGTCACCAGCCAGAGGTCTGCAGCGGTCTTTGTCTTCATTTGCATAACCGAGTGGCCGGGTGTGTGTGGGGGTTTCACTGGAGCAGAGACGAGTCTAAGCACACTGGCCTCTGCACAGGGGGCTGTGGGCCGCATGGGAGGGCGACGCTAGGATTTCCGGGGAGGCCCCAGACCAGGGGTGCATGCTAGAGTGTTCCTAGGCACACAGGGAAGGCCATCACCCCACGAATGGGCCACAGATGTGTTGTTTTCGCTTTTTGGTTGGCTTATGTATTTTGAAAATTTGAACTAACACTTTAAAACCAAGTTTCAAATAAAAATCCAGATTTGCTGCTTTTCTGGGAAATCAGAAGACTGCCACGGCAGCCCTGCCTCTGCTTACACAGCCATGGCGTCACGAGAGCTGGGCGCCTGCCTTCCACGCCCGCATGGCCTTCCTGGCAGTGATGCAAGGCCCCGCCCTGCTGTCTGCCCTGTTGTTCTCCTGTACCAGCAATGCCCCTCAGCCTGCCCCTGCCCAGGCTCTGGGGGCCGCAGGGCGGTGAGGGGCTCTCCTGGAGCCGGACTCCGGCTCCCTGAGAGTCAGGGCACCAGCTGCAGCTGCACTGGAGCGCCTGGCCGTCTGCTCTCACGTGTGCTCTTGCGTGATCCTGGCAAACGCTCAGGGAATTGGGAAGAGCGAGCCTCTAGGCCCAGGTCAGAGGCCTGGCTGGCACTCCTGCCAGTCACCTGGACTTGGTTAACCTGTGTTTCTCCTGGAAACTTGCCTCCCACAGGCTGCACACACGTCACCTGAGATGGTTCCCCCTGCAAGCCTGTAACCCCACAGACCCCAGGAGCTAGGGCTGAATGTTGGAAGCAGGAAGGTTTGAGCCTCAAATCCAGGATGACCTTGTCCAGGGAATGTGCCCACGGGGTGCCTGTGCCACAGAGGGTGCCAAGTCGCTGTGTGCCCTTCACCCCGACGCCGAGACACCCCCGCAGCTCACCTGGGGGGCCGCTTTTCCACCAGGTTCTCTGGTGAACGACCATGTCACAAGAATCGTTTGTCAAGGTTTTGAAGGCTAACCCCACCAAAGGAGCAGGTGTAGCCGGTGAGCCTTGAGGGGCAGCCCTGGAAGGCCCCCAGCAAATCAGTTATTTTATCATTTAAAACAAGATGGAAAAGGCTGAGATTGCAAAATGTCCTCAAAAAGCTATTAAGACAGAGCTATGCTTCTAAGTTCATTCTAAAAAGACCCCTTCTTGGGACCAGTAGTTGGTGTAATGTCTATGTCACTGCACTCCCATGTAGTTGACCGCGGTTCGAATCCTGGACCCGGTGGCTTAAACTCATGCTGGGCACGTGTGCATGCGTGCCCAAGATCCTGAGAAGAGAATGGAGGAGAAAGGATTGGGGGTGGCCATCCCCTCTGGGGGGTGATTTCTCGCTTTTTGTCTCTCTTTTTCTGGCGAGTGCATGTGCCCTATAGCAAGAACCTCTCCAAAAAAAATTTACAAAAAGACCCCTTCTTACGTGTTCCAGTAGCAATGACATTAACTTGATATCGTATTCAACTTTGAATGTGACTTATTTAAGCGGTGGTGTAAAAGCATTGGGGGACATCCAGATCACAGAGCGCCCTTGTCTTCCGTAGGGAGCGAGCCGTGTTCCCTGGCGTTCTGCAGGAAGTCTATGTTTGAGGAGACAAAGACAGGAGAACTGAAGAAGGGCGAAGACACATTTCTTCAGACATTTCCAAGGTGAGTTCTTTCTTTCTTTTCTCTAGAGACATTTTTGATATAGCATACATGTTTTTGCCAGAGAGAGAGAGAGATAGAGAGACAGAAAGCGAGAAATCAACCCCTCTCCCCCCTGAGGGGCTGGGCATGCCGCAATCCCTTCTCCTCCCTTCTCCTCTCAGGATTTTAGGCATGCACGCACACGTGCCCGGTGTGAGTTTTAAGCCGCTGGGTCCAGGACTCAAACCACAGTCAACTATGTGGAAGTCCAGTGACGTGACCATTACGCCATCTGCTGTCCCTACAAAGTTGAGTTCTTACTCAGTGGTCCAGGAAGGTGAGGACACATGGACAGATGACCTCTAGGTCAATGTGTTGGTTTTATTTCAGATGTTTATTTGGAAAGTACCCCTTATGCATACTCACACTGAAAAAATCCTCCTGAGACATTTACAATATGGAGGAAGTGACAGCCCTTTGGAGCTCTTTGGCCTCCTCCTTCACACCACCCACCTCTCTAGTCCTACCACCCAGGGCACACTCGCGACCTTCCCAGTATTGCCCAGTCAGATGTCACTACCTCTGCTCTCATCCTGAACACAGGGGCCCAGGCACAGGCTTCTTCCAGAAGCTTACGGTGCTCTGGGCTTTTCTCAGACCAGAGCTAGACTCTGGGTGCAGTCTTGCCCGATCTGTCCTAAGCTCTGGCCACCCGTGGTGGCAGGGGCTGCTCTGAGGCACAGATAGAGCCTGGGGGGTGGGTGCCAGAGGAGGGCAAGGGGGCTGCACACTTGTAGCAGTTCAACATGGGGCTGCAGAGCCAGAGAAGGGAGTCTGCGGTCCCCCGACCTGAACAAATGCAGACAGGAAAGCTGGCAGTTAGAGCCGGCCCCGTGGCCTAGAGGTTAGGGAAGCCGGACCTCACAGAGTGAGGCTGACCGCGCAGGGTGGATCCTGGCCTGGTGGCTTGAAAAACACATTGGGACATGAGCATTTGTGCCCAAATCCTGACAGGATGGAGACATGAAGGAGAAGGGATTGTGGTGTGACCACACCCCAGTGGGAGGTGTTTTCTCATCTTCCTTCCTCCTCTCTCTGGCAATGCATGGACCCTGTGTGTGTGCAGAGAGACCCCTTATAACTTCAGTTTTCAGCCGAAATATTGGAGACAGTAAGAATCTTTGGTCAGAGGGACAAACTTCCTAATTCAAGGTGGAACGCTCAGTCAGTAAATGTTTTGTCACAAAGTTTTTTAAAAAAAGACCAGAAAGGTACAATGTGATTCCAAGCATGTGAACTCCATTTTTACATATGTTTTTTCTCCTTATCAATAGTCAGAAATAGGAGAAACCCAAGTTGAAATATATCAGCAGGTTATTAGTTTGGATTTTTATCATTACCTGTACCTTTCCATTTTTCTTTAATGAGAATGTATTGTTCTAATGCTAAATATTTCAATTGAAACAAAAATGAAATACATCTATAGTAATTTTTTTTAATTAGATAATTTTATTTATTTTTATTTTTAGACAGAGATTTTTGCTATAGGGCGCATGTGCTCATCAGAGAGACAGAGAGAAACAGAAAGCAAGAAATCACCCTCCGGTGGGATGACCATGCTGCAATCCCTTCTCCTCCATTCTCCTCTTGGGATTCTGGGCGCACATGTACATGCACCTGGTGTGAGTTTTAAGTCACCCGGTCTGGGACTTGAACTGTGGTCAATTACATGGGAGTCCAGCAACAGAATCATTATGCCGTATGCTGGTCCCGGTGTTTTAATTTGCTACAGGGTACATGCACTCATCAGAAAGAAAGAGAGAAAGTGGGAAAGCAAGCCACCATGTCTGGGACTTGAACTGCAGTTGCCCATGTGGGAGTCCAGTACCTTAACTGCCACACCACCTGCTGGCCCCTACATCTACAGTAGTAAGCTGGTCTCAGAAAAGGGACTCATTGTAGGGTAAAGGAAGACGGGGAAAACTGGGAGCAGACTCTGGGAGGAAGAATTTTTTCCAACCTCATTTTCCGAGTAAGACGATTCCATTTTCCCAGAGTTCTACACAACTTCATAAGCTCTGAATCAACAGCGATAAGTGACATTTGGCTGAGTTTTTCAAATTGCAGCCTCTCTTTCATCACGTGTAAAAGAAACTCACGTGAGTGGTTTCACTGAGTCCTGGCATGTCTGAGAGGTCCTGGGCTGGGGGAGACTTTGCGGCTGCCCCCCCCATGGGAAGGGTCTCTTCCCGGTGGGGCGATGGGGCGAGGCCGGGCCGCGGGTGTGTGCTCTGAGCACAGGGCACTCAGAGCTCTGAAAGCCCTGCTATTCCAGCACAGGTGCCCGGGCTCCAGCCCTCCCTTAGGGAATCGTCATCTCTTTCCGAAAAGTGTGAGGCCTTCTTCCCATGACCTCATGTTTGATTCATCAGATCCATATCTGCCGCTCTCCCTCCCCTTTAGAGTTGAGATCTCTACCACACAGGACCTGAAAGTAAAACGTGGTGTCGACGTGACTGGGTTTATGTTGGCCGTTGCTGAGACTCTCTATCTCCAAAGGTCCTGCTCTCCTCCGAGGGCACGGGGAGCCAGGGGGCCGAGACGTGGCAAGCTTCTGCCAAGGACTTCCATGTCTTCCTCAGGACACCCTGTCAGCCTGGCCGATGCAAGGGAAGGCAGCTCCTTTTCTTGTTTTAAATGAGAATAACTGAAGGTTTGATGTCAACTATTTTTAAAGAATTATTTATTTAGTATTTATTTAAATTTCACCAAAGAGAGACAGAGTAAGAGAGAGAGAGAGAGAGAAAAGGAGAAAGCAGGCCACCAGGACCGAGACTTGAACTGCAGTCAGCCATGTGAAGTCTAGTGCCCTTAACCACCACGCCACCTTCTGCCCGATGTCAGTTAACTTTATATTAGCAATTGAACAGTTACTTATCAGGAGCCAGCAACAAATGTGAGGTTTCCAAACACTGACTACGTTTTGGTCCAGCCTTTCAGAGGCCCCTCTTCCACCCCTCCCCCCTCTCTAATTTGACCTATTTCTGGTGCTTTGCTTTTGCTTCGCTTACTATAAAACTGGATCTCAAATGCCAGAAGGCAACTGTGCATTATTAGGAAGGCTGCAACGTGGTTATTAGATTGCATTTTATTATTTCCTTCAGCTCGATGCGTACCTGATATTGGAGGTTCTCCCTATGGGTTGAGATTGAGAGACGCTGCAAACAATGCAGTTTTATTATCTTTGTGGGTAGGTGTAGCCAGAGGAGACCCCGACAGTGTTTAGGCTGAAGGACTGAAGGACGGCCGCATTGCCTTGCTCCGTGTCCCAGCCTGGGGTGGGGTCACTTTTGCCCACATCCCACGAGGCCGGGGCAGCTGCTGTCTGGCAACTTGAGCCTCCTTGTTCCGGCGGTCAGTAGGCATTCAGCACAGCTATCCTGGCCTCTTCACACAGGGGGTCCAGCTTCCCATCGCCTCCTGGGGAAACAGATAGTTTTCTCTTGGAGTGTTTTTTCAAACACATACTGTGTTAACTACCTTCCTACCTGCTCTCAAGTGGCTCATGGTGGCCTTTGGTGGGAGCGTACCTGCTGCTGGCCTCTCCTGTCCTCAGCTTAGCTGCGTAGCCGGGCCAGAGGCCTGAGCCCTTGCGGTTTCAGCTGCAGGCTAGAAGCTCTCCAGCACAGGGGAGCCCTAGAAATCGCTGCTGGTGGGGCTGGCAGGTCGGAGGGAGGTTAAGGTGTTGGACTCCCACACAGTCAACCATGGCTCAAGTCCTGAAACAGGTGGCTTGTTTTCTCACTTTCTCTCTCTGGTCAAATTAAATAATGAAAATAATAACAAATAAAAATAAATGAATAAATCTTTTTTAAAAAAGAAATCACTGCTAACGCTAGGTACTATCAGCATAGCAACTCGAACCGTCTCAGCAAGTCCAGATGGACTAATCAAATAGCCCAAAAATCCCTCTGAGAGCAAGAATGAAAAATACACACTAAAGGGCAAAACATGCGGCCGGCATGGCGTGGTGGTTGAGGTACTGGACTCCCACATGGCTGACCACGATTTGAGTCCGGGACCTGGCAGCTTGCTTTCTCACTTTCACTCTCTCTTGCCTGGCCAAATTAAAAATGAATAATGATAAATAAAATTAAATATTTTTTAAAAGTGCAAAAACCTATTATCCTTAAATTCATATCATGAGAAGTGTGGATGGGGCCCAACTTCGTTTTCTTCCTGTCTGTCCCCAAAGCCTGGAGGAGGCCCAGGGCATTGGCCGGTTTGCTCCCCTTTACATGCCACTGGGAGTAGCACTTCCGGGATGAATTCACAGCGCACACGGGTGCCCACACCGAATCCAGGCACGGCACACTGACCGCTTCAGC